ATTATATTTTAATATTTTTTTTTAAATTTCAACCTCACCATTTCGACAAAAGCCGGTATATTCCAGTTGAAGGTTTTTTAAAAAACGGATATTCGCCAATTTTCGAAATTTTCAACCTTCCTATAAAACCCCTTCTACTCTAGCTTATTACTTCAATTTCAAATCACTTCGGACAAAATCGACTATCTCTCTATTTTGTATTTACCAATTACCACACTTTATCATTTCATACTAGTAAATTTAATTTTTTTGTGGGCTGATTGAACGACCACCAAGTGCTCTTTTCTGTACATTTTACCCACCAGTGCCTTAGCTTAATCATTATACTTGGTGGACCCTTGTTTGGTTGGCTTGTTGAATTGTATCATCCATCTTAGCTTATATCATCCATTGATCATATTTCATATATGTATGACTGTATATGATGTGTGTGGCTTGGTAGTGCATGTGTAAGATTGACATCTTTTGGTGTAGAACCCTACACCATGGTCTAGACTCTAGACTAATCTAGTGGTGGTTGAAGTTGGGGAGTGGGGACAATAGTAGTCCTGGGAATTGGGAGATATATTGTGTTTGGGCCAAAGTTGTGTAGGCCCAAATTCCTGTTCCTTAAGGACCCAACAGCATCATTTGGCATTTTGGCTCATGAGCATCTAGTGATCTAGAAACACATGTAACTAACATGACACGCATGAATCATGAACGTTCTCACAATGCAATTTTCATTCTTTCTACTTAAGAAATTTCATTATCTCAATCTATAGAAAGAGGGGTGCAATTCAAGGTGTCGCTCCGTCTGATTTTCTTTTGGATTTTTTTACCCCTAAAGTTTGACTATTACTTTTCTCTCAACTATCATGCCCGTGTGGAGCTCGGGTACTAATACTAGTTAATATATATATCTTATCATAATTATCATTCAGCTCGTTTAATGTTATTAACCGGTTTTTTCAAATTTGGGCCTTAGCCTGGCTTTTTAAGTGGTCTTCATTATAAAGGAAAAGTAAGATTTACACTAGTATATAAATTTTTGTTTTCACCAACTACATAATAGGAATATAGTGATTGTGAATGATGAGATTTGAGATCAAGATTGAAGACAGAGATTATGATTCATTCTAATTTTATTATAAGCTAAAAGATCTTCTTGGTGAGATTCTTCAAATAGTGCCATTTGCTTTACATGTGCTCCACCAACTAGGGATCACTTGAGAAGAAACTAATGTTAGTTCCTGACATACTAATACTATTTTCTTCCTGTATCCATGCTCATGACCTCAAATTACCTCACCATATATGACCATACGTACTCTCTCATTTTTTACAAATACACAGTATCCTTTAAATCATGACCCTTGAATTGGTTGATATATATATATCTATGTCATCAACTCTCATTCTCATGACTTAAATTTGCATTCATTTCTAAATTTGGGACCATACAACATTAACCACAAACATTGTTTTTAAACGTAAAGTTTGAGTATATCTTATATGAGACTCAACGTGGTTGGGACCAATGGACCATGACCCTCCATTTCAAAAAATAATAATAGAGAGTTTGTCATTTATTTATTAATCTTGTAAATTTCAACTATTCATGTTCCATTGATCTTATTTACATCACTCTGGGATAATCGGATGAACCATATTGAATCTCATATTAGGGGAAAAACAATCTTGAGGTTGATCTAATGGAGAAATAGAAGAAGTTTACTACCCACCATGAATTTCAGAATTTTTTCCAAGAAGAGTTGATTGACCCACCACTGGTGAAAGTTGTTTATATGTCTGGGTATGTTTGAGAATGGGGTCTACAACTTAATAAATATGAAATATCAGTAGCACATTTCATAATTAGAACAATGAAACAAATAAAATCAAAGAGAAGAAAAATGGAAAAAAAAATAATCTACTTATAGCAGTTGATCTCTTCATCATAAGAACTCTCTTCCAGTCCACTTTCTTCCATCAACAGTGAGAGTTTTAATTTCCAAGACTTTTAGTGTGTTTGTGTGTGTGTTTCTGCTGTGTTAAACATATTGGAGTACTATGGTTTTAGAGTTCAACAGTACAATTCTACTACATATATACTGCGACTTGAGGAGGAATCCAAAGGGATCGCATTGATCTCATATCTCTAGCTCTTTCATATTGAGTTTTTGGGATCATGCTATCCCTTTGGATTCCTCCTTTAATCGCTCATCAGCTCTTGAATTTTCACTTGTGGAGATCAAAATGGGAGTTCTGATGCAACACAACCATGGAAGATTCAAGTGTATTAAGTTTTTTTTTGGGTAAGTTAGTTAACACATCACAGATCTCAAGTAAATATATAGGCCTCGATCTCTCTTCATCAGCACCTCAGCTCAGATTGCATATCTTTTTGCTCATGTTCGACAATTCAATCAGGTAACTATATCTACTATTATATACATATCTAAGATGTTCTCTAATTTTTCTTATACTTTCAGATAATTTTTGATGTCATATGGGAGAAACATGATATGTATAGACTTATTATGTATTCAAATTAAAACATGATTTCAGAAGAAATAAAAAATTACATAATGCTCAGAAATTATAATGTGTTCAAAATAACATACACATGGTTTTGGGTAGAAAAAGCTGGTCTCTTATTCTGTGCAAAACACACAGTGGGATCAAATTTCTAGGGCATAAAAGCACAGGTCACAGGTGTACTTTTCAAAGACGTCGATTCATCCATTTTTTTAAGGTTTAATTTATATTACATATCAATTGTGCGTGGTAGAGCTGTATCTTGTTTAGTTTTGAGTTTCAGTGAGAAGGAGTTCTTGCAGAGTTGCAGTACATACACATGGTGATTGGCCTGGTGAAGATAGAAATTGTATGCTTTGCAACCTGGGGAACGTAAAAGAAGGAAGCTATGTCCTTTTTATACACTCTTGTGTATGTTTAATAAGCCTTTATATACTTGCATGTCGATCTATGGAAGCTTTTCTTCTGTGAATGTGAATAATATATATATAGCTGGGATTAAACTCTAGCTTGTACCCTAAATAGCTATTTTTTTCCCTGTTTTTCAATTTTGGAGATGAGATATTTCAGTCATTTTCATTTATATATTAATTCTTCTTAATGATCATTATATTTTTCCTATCTCTGGCTGTTTGAAAACATAAGATTTTAAGTATGGGCAGGCTATTAGATCTATGAATAATAATAATGGTAGCTGGTGTATATGGTCAGTACTGATTACTGAAGATGATGATGAATGAAATAGTTAATAATGGAAGATGGAAGGAATGTAGGTTTCACACTTTTTCAGATAGCAAAATTCTCCTATAATTGGGATATGATCTTTAAGGCATACAACAACCTCCAACCAATTTGCTTAGGTAGTTTTTCAGCAGTCAGCAATTGGTGGTGCTGAAATAAGCAATTCAGTTAACGGGTGAAGATCGAATTAGAAAAGCATTGTCTCAGCTCATCGACTCAAATCATCATCTATCAGTTTGCAAGTTACTACTTATAACAACGAAGACTTGATCTATATGCTTGAATGCAACAACAACAGAAGGTAAATAATGTATTCACTCTTTAATTTGCTATAGTTCATTATTAAGTATATGCTAACAGATACTAAACAAATTCGATCGGGTTTTAAGATCGAATTATATTCTAAATCATAATATTGCTATTCTGGTATATATGCAGTATATATTAGTGAAGTGTTTGCAGACTCAAATGCTATAAAAACACCAACGAACAAAACTTTATTAAGAATCCAAAGCTAGTGGGACATTGGCTACGACTTTTCAAATTCACATACTTATGCTTCTGAAAATTTAATGGTTTCTCAAGAAAGAACCGATAGAAAGGAATCAAACAGATGAAACTTTAGATTTTTTTAATAAAATTATAAAGTTTAAACACTAGTATTAATTTTGAATTAAAGGTGCTTTTATCATCTTTTCATCACATGGAGGCATGGAGCCAACCTTGCGAATCCCATTTTCTTATTTACCAAAAACAGTGGAAAAAGATTAGTTTTCTTTAATCTAATGTTTGCTAGCTATTAGAATAGGAAGAACTAACATTTCAATTTCAAAGGTCAACAGTGGGGTATCATGCACTCAAAGTAGGCTTCATTACTCTTTATGCCCATTTAAATTATTGATAAATATTCAGAATCATGATTGTTATATCATAAGATCCCATTTAATCCCAATTTTTTTAGATCTTTTCCAGATTAGTTCTACAGTCTACAACTCTACACTACCATGTTGCTCCTACCCACTTGTTGAATTTTTTCACTAAAATTAAGGCGATCCCAAGATTTTAGGAACTAATCCTAGCTTAACCCACTCTAAATTTGAGTACCCAAGATTTTTATTTTGATTTGTTTTATTTAGTGACTATATATAGACGACATAGTTGTGAACAATGTACATGCATGTGTGTATGTACTACTGTACTAGTGTTTACTGACCACAAAATACCAATATGGGTAGCTTTGCCTAAGGTATTCAAGTAATCTACTTAATGTCTTAGAGCATCTTCAATGCTAACATAAATTTGATGAAAAAAAAATAACTTTATGTTGAGTGTGGTTTTGTTGCACACGAATCTTTTTGTGTGAATGATAACACTCTATTCTGACCCTCCAAAATATATGCTATGGCAGTTTTTTGAGTTTTAAAAATTAAAATCTGATTTTTGAATGTCTAAGATGAAGTGTTATCATTCACACGATGCTCTTAGTTTATCCTACATGGTACATCTAAATTTATTTTTGCATTGGAGATGCCCTTAATGTCAATGGCAAATAACACAACTCAATTACTGATCAACAATTGTATGAAACTGTAGTATTGAAACAAGAAAACAATGTAGATTGCCGAATGGAGTACATTGATCCCGTGAGGTTTCATTTGGAGAGGTAAAAAAAAAAAAATAGTAAATGTTTTACCTAGCAAAATAATCAGTAAATGTTTCCTTGTTGGGCTACACAAGATTTGTATTACTATGAGATTGAACAGATAGTCAATTCTTGAAGGACCCAAGATCTTGACTGGAATTTAAGATTGTATCCTCCATCTTAAATTCTTAATGTCTAATTTAAAATTTGAGAACTACAGAAAACCACAGGAGCATTTTCAATTTATTTTAGTCTGACGTACACTCTATGAGATAGATATAGATATCTATAATGGACGATGGTCCATATGAATTGGAAGATCTAAGTAATTAATTAAGGAGACCAAAAGTCCAAAACAATGATTTAATCTACTTGTACTAATTAAAAGGGAGCTAGAGCAGGAGCATCTTCAAAGTAAAAGGATGGAGTAGGAGCAACTTCATAGTATGGAGCTGGAGCAGGAGTATCTGCAGAGTATGATGATGATGATGCAACTGGAGCATTTGCATTGAATGGTGATCCAACGGGAACATCTGCATAGAGTTCGCTGGTGGCTGGACCAGAAGCAATTCCAGAGCTCATAAGCTCTATCATTGCGCGGTGAGGATTAGTACGTTGAGCCTCACATAAATCAGGCAAGAATACTCCTGCATTTTTAATAATGGAAATTAATTAGAGATTCATCTACATATATCATATATGAGTGAGTGAATGATTCCAAAACTTGTTTAACAATAAATCATTACAGGCCAAATAGTGTTTTTAAGCACATAATCTTCTCGTTTAAAAATGTTTTTAAGACCTGTCACCTGTTGGACAGATTCTACTTCAAGAGTTGATGGCTTGATTTGAAACTTAGACAGAGTCCACAACAAAAACAAAGAATTGGATCAAAGCCTACAAATAGCTCTTGGATGTTTATTGGACCTAACTGGCCCAAACAAAACCAAATAATTGGGCTTTAACATAATTAATTGAGCCCAAAATCAGACACAAATAATCACTTCACTATTAGATTTTGTGTTGTCAATTGTCAAATGATCCAAACATTAATCATGGGCTTTAACATAATTAATTGACAATGGCGAAATAAGACACAAAATCTAATAGTGATTAGAAACTGATTATTTTAGAAAAAAAATTAAATATCATTAAAAACGTAAGATAACAAAAATCATTAAATTTACCTTCTCCTGCAGCCAAATTGAAGTATAAGTCGACAATGTTTGGACAATTCTGATAACAAGCAGATGAACAAATCTTGGCAGTAGATTGTGGCTCAAGCAGAGAATCAGATGAAAATCCAACGGTATTCCTGTCAACCCCACAAGACTTGACGCATTCATCGCTTTCCATCCAATCAGCCATCTTCTCCACCACCACCTCAGATGTCCTGCACTGGTACTCAACTCTTCCATCTTTTGATGAATAGTTTTCTAACAAACAACGCTTGCCCGATGAAGCAATAGAAAATGCACAAAGATTCTTAGGCAAATTTTCACAAACAAGCTCACCTAATAAAATGATCACCATATATAAAAATAATGCAAAAAAATAATTGAAAAAACAGAACAAAATATTGGTATATATGGTAGGAAACGTTACCTAGAACTCCATGAAGGAAGATAGATAAAGAAAGAAACAAAGCTAATTGGATTCTGCAGAGAGCCATGTTTGAGTTTTCTTTGTTTGAAAGAAAGGTATGTATATGAATGGTGAGAGTTTGAAAAGCTTAATTAATTATAATGGTGAGCTTGTGAATAAATAGATTGGTTGCCTATTTATAAGCAAATACTACTTCCCACCAAATTATGTAAACGTTTCTTTTTCCGCTACTTGAAATTTAACGTCAACAACACCCTATATTTACCATTTAGGGACACGTTGTTAGGCAGGTGGTTCGTTAAAATAAAAAGTATCTAGTAGTACCTTTTGTTTTGTAGTTATAGTGTTGTTGGCCATTTATACAAATTTCCCTCATTATTTGTTGATTTGTGTATACAAGCAGTTTTTATTAATTTATCTTACATAATTTGTATTAATTAAACAATTGATATCAAATTGAAGATATGATGATGAAAATGAAGAGAGTTATTAACTATGTAATGTAACAATAACATACCTCTTGGGAGTATCGAAACATATCTTTGTTGAATTTAGAAGTTTCTAGCCGGTTCTCATGACTGGGTTTTGGTCATTTTGGTTATTTAGGAGCCCATATATGGACTTGTTCTTCGACGCGGGGGAGTTGGTATTTTGGTAATGGTCAGTCAGTCAACACTCAACGTATGA